GACGTAGACAGCTCCGGCGAGGGGCGCGGCGAGGACTGGGCACCCGGTGAGGTTGCGCAGCCTGCCGCGAGAGCGGGCGGAGGGTCAGAAGCGTGGCTCCTGCCCGACGCCCCGCGGGGGGGGGGGGGGGGCGCTGCGAGGGGAGCGCGGCGCCAGAGCGCGCGACTCGAGGAGAGGAGCGTGACGCGGCAGCGCTGCAACTCCTCGAGGCAATACTCGCCGGCACCGTCGCCGCCCGCCGGCCGCACCTGGGAGAGGGGCGGGGGTTCGCGCGGCGCACAAAGGCGCTGTGGCCCTGCCGTGTGGGGTGGTGTGGCGCCAGTCTGGGTGGCTTCGGAGGATAGGATGGAGCAGAGAGGCGAAGTGACGAGAGAGGGCGACGCTGTTGGCGGCACCACGCACCAACTCGCAGTCGCTCTGCTTGCGGAAGCCGGCCATCCCCTCGAGGCCTGCGCTGAAGGCATCGGTGTGGCGGCGCGTCGTCGCGTCGGTCGTCGCCGCCGCAGGCGCCGCGGCGGCCGCGGCGGCGGCGACATCCGCACCCGGCGCCCCGCCGACCTTGGCACGGTTGCGGAAGGCGAAGCGCTTCTTCGGGGCGAGCCGCTCTTTGGCAGCGCTCAGGCGGGCGTCCGCCTCCTGCGCCTTGCGCTGCGACGCCTCGAGCAGGGCGGGCGGGAGCCCGGACGCGGCGGCGGCGATGAGCGCGTGCAGAGCCGCCACCGACGCCGCGCACGCCTCCATTCCGTCGCTATCCGCCGCCTCCAGCTGATCGAGCGCGGCTGTGTTCGCTCTGCTGAAGGCCTGCTCAAACTCGGCGACCGAGGCGTCGGCGTCCGCCGCGGCAGCTGCGCGGGCCGCTTTCTTCTCCTCCGCCTCCCTCGCGCGGGCCGCCATGCGCTCGTCCATGACGCGCCGCGCCGCAAGCGCCCGGTCGGCGGCGGCGGAGGCGTCGCCGGACAAGGACAGGGAGGCCATGTCGTGCGCGTCAGGGCCAGGCGGCGGCGTCGCGTCGAGCATCACCAGCAGATATAAGCGCAACGGCGCGACAGGGAAAGCGAGAAAGAGAAACCAAACCCGTGGCGATCCCACATCGGGCGGCGTGCCGTCCTCCCATCCCTCCCTTGGGTTGTCTGTTTTCTTTCTTTCTTTCTTTACGACAGCGATTGTGGGGACTACATGATCCGTACGTGAAGGGTGGAGGGGCCCGTCCGCAGAGCTAGGCGGCGTGGGCGCCCTCCACTGGGGCCGAGGGTAAGAGGACGTCTGCCGCTTGCTTGTCTTGACGTCGTTGACCCAGCCAGTTGGCACGCTCACTCAGGGGATTTCACAGTCGGCACGCGTATTGCGCGCCTGCTTGTTGATGTTATCGGCGTCGCCCGCCACCGCCCGCCATGGAGATCTGCTGCGTGTGGTGGACGACAAGGCTCAAAGGAGGAGGCGCTCGCCGACGCCGCCGCCCCATACGCCATACACACACCGTCCGGTCCGTGTTGGTGCCCGCCGCTTCCTTGGCGAACACGTGGAGGAACTGCTTGGTGGGCGGCGCAATGCCACCCAAAGTTTCCACGAGCACCAGCCGCGTTATGGCTTTCTTGACCAGTTCTTGACCCACTTCGCGTCGTAGTACTGCGCCCCCGTCCACTTCCAGGAGCCTGCATCCGTCTTGATCCATCCCTTTCCACGCGCGTGGTCCTTGACCCATCCCTTTCCAGTCGAGTGGTCGAGCGGTCCGTCCACCTGACGGCCACGCTCCTTGCACCCCACCGACCCCCGTCGCAACGCCTTGTCTTACTAGCGTGTTTCCAAACCCGTAGAGGTGGCCCACCGACGCCACATTGCCACCATTGTCCCCACGAGCCCCTCCCCGCCGTCGTCGACTTGATGAGAGGGTTCCAGCACTTGACCTTGTAATGCACGTCCCGCATCGTGGCGAAGTCGCCGCCGAGCTCGCAGATGTCAGTCACGGACGTGTCGTTGAGGTGCCGCGTCACCTCGGGGTTTTCCTTGTCCCCGATGATGATGATGCCAACCGAGCGTGCCCGGATGGCATTCTGGGCGGCCCTTAGCACCCCGTTGTGATTGGAGGTGCGGTCGCCCTTGTTGGAGTTGGCGAGGGAGTCGCCCTTGCGCTCTGACTCCCACCGTGACGTGCTTGCCCGCGGCGGCCTGCTCGACGCGCAATCACCGACAAGTAGAGCACGTGCCTGCGCTGTATCGCCGTCCAGTCGCAGTCAGGAACATCGCCGACACCATCTTCGTGTGGTGGAGTCCATCAGGGCGCATGTCGTTGTCGAGCCATCCAGCGGCGCCGAACTGGGAGATTGAGATCAACGAGATGAAGCGAGTCGCCTCCCTGAACTTGATCGCCTCCGACTGCGGCGTGTTTTTGTCGATCTCCTCGCATGCCGCCAGGCACGCGATCCACGAACAAGCTCACAATCTTGTTGGCCGGCACCCCGGCCGCGATCGCGGCATCCCGCGCGGTAGGGTCGCGCAACACAGCCACGTGCACCGGTCCTCGCGCTCGGGGCACAAGCACAAAACACAAAACGAACAAGAAGAAATAGCGGTGTAGCGAGCGAGCGAGCGAGCGAGCGAGAGAGAGAGAGAGAGGGGGGGGGGGGGAGAGAGAGAGAGAGAGAGAGAGAGAGAAAGAGAGAGAGAGAGAGAGAGAGAGAGAGAGAGAGAGAGAGAGAGAGAGAGAGAGAGAGAGAGAGAGAGAGAGTTAGAGAGAGAGAGAGAGAGAGAGAGAGAGGAGAGACGAGGAACAAATGTGCCAGAAATACGAGAGGGGTAGCAGCAGCACCCGAAAGCCTTTTCTTTTCCCTGTGGTGTACCTGTGTTAGTGCCAGTGCGCGCCAGTCCCGTGCCCAAAGAAAGAAAGAAAGAAAACACGCAACCCAAGGGAGGGATGGGAGGACGAGTCCAGTGTCGCTCGCAAATCCTAGAAGTCGTAGGACTGTGGGCGGTGTGCTCGTAATCGGCGAAAGTTCTAGGATTGCGAGCGCTCCTGCTCGCAATCGGAGGCATGGTTGCCAGGATTGTGAGCCAAGCTGCTCGCAATCCTAGACTTTGCGCGGATTGTGAGCGCGCTGGTAGTAGTCGTAAGCGTCACCAGTCACCTTGAGAGCGGAGCTGCTCTTAGTCCTAGAAGATGTAGGATTGCGAGCGTGGGTGCTCACAATCGCACAGAGATGCTACGATTGCGAGGAGTGCTGCTCACAATCCTTCGACTTCTAGGATTGAGAGCGAGGCTGCTCTCAATCCTAGCCTGGTAGAAAAGAAGGTTCACCGGGGGAGAGAGAGAGAGAGAGAGAGAGAGGAGAGAGACGAGGAACAAATGTGGCAGAAATACGAGAGGGGTAGCAGCACCCGAAAGCCGTTTCTTTTCCCTGTGGTGTACCTGTGTTAGTAAAAGAAAGAAAGAAAACAGACAACCCAAGGGAGGGATGGGAGGACGGCACGCCGCCACCACACAGGGATTTTAAGGAGAGGTGTGTGGTGCGCTAGCCGTCGCCCACCCTAGGGAGTCTGCCTCTTCCTATCTCTCTTCGCAGTCTCTCGCCGATTCTCGCTGCAACCTTCATGCCACCTCGCGGTCGTCCCACTCTCGTCGTTCTCTCCCTTGTCACTTCCTCCTCTGTCGCGTCGTTCTCTTCTGCCTCGTCCTGCGACGCCGCCGCCTGCCGGTCCCTTGTTCTCGCGGCTTCTTTCGCCTTTCGGCGCAACTCCGTCCTCCTCGCGGCGTATCCTGGCCCCTCGAGTCTATCGAGCTCCCCTCGCGCAAGGACCACATTTCTGACTCCCACTCCGATCATTTGCCTACAGGTCATGTTGTTGCTCAGGTCCACTCTCTCTTCGAACACTCGTGCCTCTACGGATGATGCCGGCGCTGGGGTCCCCTTCGGATGCATCGTGACATCTGACAACTGAATTTCCACTGGTTCGTCCTCCTCGGAGTCATCTTCCCCGTCCTCCTTCCGCTCGGCTCTTCGCTCGGTACGTTCGGTGTGGCTCACCCTCCATGCCGTGAACAGGCGCTTTATCCACCCTATATTCTTCTCTCGTTCCTCTGCCCGTGCCTTGGTCTTGTCGTTGTTTCGCACCCATGTCTGTATGGCAATCGAGGCTGCCTTCCCCACTACCTGTAGTTCACTCGTCACCTCTCCCGCGAGCTCCCTTCTCTTTCTTTCGGGTATGGAGTCCGTGAGTGCGGGTAGCGTGCAGGCAATCACGGGCGCTATTTTGTCGTACTCCTCTTCGGCGAGCGCTCCAAATCTAGACCCTTTCGCCTTTAAGGAGGCTGCCCTCGCTCGTCTCAGGAATGTGGCGGTGTCTTTTGAGTCCGGCGCCTCCCGTTCAACTCTTGCTGTCGCCCTCGCTGTGTGTTTGTCGAGCTTCCGCATGAAGTGACGCGCCTCTTCCTTATTTCCAGCGCAGCTGCCGCTCAGTATGTGCGCCAACGACGCTTGTGGTACCTGTGTTAGTGCCAGTGCGCGCCGTTTCTTGCAAAATTCTTTTCCCCGACCGGCTCCCCAGAAGCGCGAAGCGAAGATACCCTCGCGGTGCCGGCCGCACGCTACCCCACACGAGCCCTGCTGCGCACGAGCCCTGCCTACACACCTTGTGCACTTCACTCCCCGCGTCCCCGCGCCAACAGGTGAATCCCGAGCGGCTCCCCAGCACACCATGCTCGCCGTCACGCTCGCCGCGCTGCCTTCGCTGCTGCTCTCACCCTCAGTGCCGGCGACGGGCAGCCGCGCACGGGCGGCCGCGGTCCGGATGGCCGGCGACGGCCCCTCCTTTGGCGATCTCGACGGCTCGACCGCCCGAATCGGCATCATCAAGGCGCGCTGGCACCCCGAGATGAGCGACTCGCTCATCGCGGGCGCCAAGGAGGCGCTCGCCGCGTGCGGCGTAAAGGAGGAGAACATCGTCGAGACCGAGGTGCCGGGCTCGTACGAGCTGCCCCTCGCCGCGCGGTACATGGCCCTCTCCGGCTCGGTGGACGCCATCCTGCCGGTTGGCATCCTGATCAAGGGCGACACGTACCACTTTGAGGCAATCTCGGACTCGGTCTCGTCGGGGCTGATGTCGGTGGGCATGCAGACGGGCGTGCCGATCCTCTTCGGCGTCCTCACCTGCATGAGCGAGGAGCAGGCCCGCGTGCGATCCATCGGGCCGGGTAACCACGGGCCGGATTGGGGGAGGGCCGCCGTCGAGATGGCGCTGCTGCGCCAGTCGGCGGTCGGCGGGCCAAAGTCCAAGTTCTTCATGGGCTTCGGCGACTCGGGCGAGGACGACGCCAAGCCCATGACGCGGCCGGCCGAGCGCATCGGCTTCTGAGCGGCGCCGGTTCGGCCGGCGGCGCGCGGCGCACATCTCAAGCTCGTCGGCGCCAGCGCAGCCGCCTCGGTGTGCGAGCGCTCTCGCGTGCGCCAGGCTTCACACCGAGGCGGTACATATAATGCGATCGCGCGCGTGCGTCTTCTGGAACGGCGGGAGGTACAGCCAGCTCGTGTTGCGCGCTCTGGCGGTGCGCCGTGCCCCCTGTGACCAGACCGGCTCTCTTGTATATCGATCTCTCCTCTCCGCGCGGCTCTTTGAGCGCCCAAACCGGCGGCGCGTGTGTGGGTGAAAAAGAAGGGCATCAACGCCCAACAATAGATGTCCAAATTTCCAAAATAGATGTGATCATATTGCAATAGAGATATCACGAGTCAGCGCAGTCTCGCGCCCGCCCGGCGCCGGCCCGGTCCGCACCGCGAGGCAGAGAGGCGCCTCCCCTCCGATGGCGCCGCGCGAGTACTGGCCGTAGTACACCCTCCGGTCCGCACCCGTGCGGTTGGGCCCGCTGCAGTGCCACAACCGCGACGAGAAGAGAACGGCGTCGCCCGCCTCGGCGCACACGTCGACGGCGAGCGCCTCGCCCTCCTCCTCGAGCCAGCGCAGAGTCGCCTCCGACGCGGGCGCCTACAGGCGGCGCGGCGCGCACGTGTCGCGCGCGCGCCTGGCGTGACCGCTCCGCCAAGGAAACCCGCGCGTCCGCGGCTGCGGAGGGCGGCTGCGGTGCGTCGGAAGGGAGGAGACGCAAGCACCCTATAGGGTGTGAACACATCAGATCGGAGGCGTGACTCGTCTCGCAGCAGTGGGAAAGAAGCTACGCACGCGGCGGGCTGCCGCCTGCCGTTGCCTCTCTCAAATGTGTTCCGGTGCTCGAGATGTGGGGAGATGTGGGGAGATGTGGGGAGATATGGGGAGATGCGTTCTGTGTTCCGGTGCTCGAGGCTGTCCTCCGCAACTAGCCTCCCGCAACTAGCCTCCCGCAACTAGCCTCCCGCAACTAGCCTCCCGCAACTAGGCGTGCGACCGTTGGCGGGCGAGACCGTGTCGAGGGGGCACCAGAGGGAAACGTACTCCGCCGCCCCGCCGCTGCCGAGCGCGAGGCCCGCCTCGTGTTGCAGCGCCTACAGCGGTGGCAGGAGTGCGCCGAGCGTCACAAGACTGCAGCGCCGCTCAGAGACAAGAGGGCCTCGTGTGCTGCCGTGCCCAGCCCGTGTGCCACGCCTCGATCTCGCCGGTCTCTCGCCTCTCTCTCGGCGGTCTCTCGGCTGTCTCTGCCCCGTCCGTGTGCCACGCGAAGCCGCCTCCGCGCCCCGCCGGCTTGACAACGTAGTGCTCGTTGAAGAGGCAGACGGCAAGCTCGGCCGCGGTGTCGTCTGCGGCGGCGGCGGCGGTCGCGGAGACGGCGGCGGTTTCAGTGGCGGCGGCGGTGGCGTCGGCCTCGGCGGTGGCGGCGTCGTCTGCGGCGGCGGCGCACGGCGCGGGGCGAAGCGCCTCCGCTGCCAGCGCGGGAAGGGCCTCGAGGGCAATGTGGCGGAGGGGGGCCTGTAGGAGGGCTCCGGGAAGGCTCCGTGAAGGCTCCGCAGCCGCGCGACACGGGCGGGGGGCGGGCGGGACCGCGTCGGCGGCGGCGGCGCCTCGGTGGGCGAAGTAGGCGGCGGGGTCGACTCGCGCCGGGTGGCCTTCGGGCGGTGGGCCGGAGGCGGGCACCTCGAGCACGCACTGCTCCTACCGGAAGGTTCCGAGCATTCGGCGGAGGGCTCCGGCGGCGGCCTCACGACCACACATGTCTGGTCCTCGAGCAAGTCTCCGCCCGCACCCTCGAGCGCCGCCTGCCGCGCAAGCGTGGGCCGAGGTGTGACCGAAGTGTGATCGGAGTACGGGCCGCTCGAGATCCGCCTGCAGCGCGTCGCTCTCGCGCCGCAGCGCCGCAACCTCTGCCGGTGCGAGCGCCGACCGCACCACCGCGAACCCTCTGGCGCGCCACTGCCGCAACAGCTCGGGGGCGAGTCTGCACAGAGGGAGGGCGCGGCGCCGCTTCGCAGGCTCCGCCGCCTAGAGCATCACCACACACAGAGAGATGAGGGCGCGACTGCATCGTTCCGTGCTGTCCGCGCCGCGTGTGAAGACACAAGCTGCTGCTACTGCGGACACAGCTGGCTGAAGGAAGTCCTACGTGGCTCGAGAGACAGGGGCGGATGGCTCCGCGTCTATGCTCCGCGCGCCTCCTCCGCCTCGCCGCGGGGGAGGGGGGAGCCGCGGGCCCGCCCCGCCCCGCCCTCCGCAGCGCCCGCCTGCGCCGCGAGTAGCTGCCGGTCGGGCAAGCCGCACCTGCGGGACATGTCTCGGACATGTCTCGGACGTGTCGTGGACGTGTCCTGCCGGTCAGGCAAGCCGCACCGGTCGCGCAAGCCCTGCGCAAAGTGGGAGCGCTGGCCGCACAGAAAGGTCGGGTAGCGCGCCTGGGGCATGAGCACGGCGGCTGGAGTGTGCGTGCGATGGGAATGCGGTCGAATACAGTCGAACAGGAGCCGGCTGCTAGTTTCCGCATCTGGGGAGCGGCGCAATCGCCCCCGCCAACAGCACCGCCGGCGCCTCGATGCGCGTGTCGTATCCGGGCATGCAAAAGTAGACGAGGCTCAGCCGCGAGCGCCAGCCTCCGCCGAGCACGCGGTGGCGCGCCGACCTGCTCGCGGATAGCAACGATTTTTCTAAGGGGGATAGCCCGCGAGGCGGGAGGGAGCGGCGGCGCGCTCTCTTGAGCAGCCCGTTGCTCCAGTAGTGCAGGATGTCGCCGACGTTGACGATCAGCGCACCCGGCCGCGCGCCCACGTCCACCCACCCGCCACCCTCTCCGCCGCCGCCCTCCCCGCCTCCGCCGCCGTCCTCACCGCCGCCGCCGCCCTCGCCGCCGTCGTCGCCATCGCAGAGCACCTGCAGCCCAGAGGCATCGCCGCCCTCGTGGTAGAGCACCTGCGAGTGCATGACTGAAGGGCTACGCTCCTCTGACTGGCTGGGGCATGGTTGAGGAGGGACTAAGCTCTGACTGGCTGGGGCGGCGGAGGAGCACGTGTCGATGCGCCGCGAGCAGCGTGTCGCGCACTGCTGGCCCGCCACAGCCTGTGCCTCGGCTGTCTCTCTGCTGTCTCTCTGCTGTCTCTCTGCCGTCTCTCTGCCGTCTTGTCTCTCGGCGGGTCTCTCAGCTAGATCGCGCCGTGAGCGAGGTGGGGTCCGTGTGCGGGCGCACCCGCACCACTCCTTCGCCCGCCTCGCCCGCCGCCGCAGCCGCGCCTGCCGCCGCCTCGGCGCCGCCGTTGTCAGCCTCGACGCCGCTGGAAGCCTCGGCGGCCTCGGCGCGGGCCGCCGCTGGCGCCCGTCGGGCCGGGTAGTGCAGCGCGCAGAGGTTCGTGACGTGTCTGCGCAGCGCGGCGTCGAAGAAGTCGGGCGGCAGCCGCAGCGCCGCGGCGACGGCGGCGTGCAGGTCGAGGCAGAGGCCCTCGAAGGCGCGGTAGGCGGCTTCGTACGCGGCGCGGAAGCCGGGCGCGTCCGCCTGGGGATTGGGGTCGGGGGAGTCGGTCAGGGCAGGCGGGTGCGGGCGGATGGGCTCTTGAGCGTGGTCAAGCAGCAAGAGGGAGGCATCCGCTCAGACAGGAGACTGCGGCTGAGGTGGAGGCTTCTTCCTCTGGCTGGTGTGAGCCACCTCGTCCGGCCACTGGTTGGCGTCTCCAAAGTAGAGGGCGGCCTCGTCGCTCGGTCCTGCGGCGGGAGAGGAGGCCTCGACATGGGGCGACCTGGCCAGCTCAGTGCAGGCGGGGACGGACCAGAATAGTATGGGTCGCCCGCCACGAGTGAATCTGCCAGCCGACCGCAAGAGAACTTCTCGTGCAGGTGCGGCGGCCGGACGGCGTTCACGCACCCGTCGACCGGGATGAAGCCCTTGCGCGGGTGGGCAACTTTCGACTTTGTGTCCTCGTCCGACTCGAAAAAGGCTCGGGCAACGGACAGCGCGCCGAGGACCTCGGAGGCGATGCCGTGGTCCGAGAGGTGAAGAAACCCGACGCTGCTGAGCGACGCGCGGAGCGCCTCGAGAGCGGCGGCGTCGCGAGAGCGGAGGGCCGCCATCGAGACGGATGGGAGCGGCATTGCACTCGCGGTTTTTAAGAAATTCCCGTGCTCCAAGTGCGCAAGCGATTCGCAAGCATGCCAGACGACCACCATGTGTGAGACGAAGTTAACCTTGACTTACCTTACCTTTAATTTGGTACAGAGAGAAGAGGTGGAGACAAGGGAGCGTGAGTGAGACTCGAGAGAGAAGGCGGTCCCTAGCAATGGCGGAGCGCCTGACGCCGTGACGCGTGAGTACAGACTGGACGCTGCATGCTTCTCCTAGCACAGACAGCTTATTGCGCTGTGTCCGCATGCGCCGTCGTCTCATAAAGGCCCTCGGGCACGGGCAGCGGCGCTGGCCACGAGGACGGGACCTTCCACGGAAGAGCGAGCCAAGGGTGCTCGCCCGCGAAGCTGTCTTCGGCTTCGACACGCGCGAGCACGCTCGTGGCATTCATGGCCGTCCGCGGATCGCCGTCCGCTATGTAGCGGCGTGCGAGAGTGAGCGTCTGGTAGCCGCCCTGCGACGCGCCGTCGTGCAGCTTCCCCAGGGAGACAAAGTCGCCGAACTCGGTGGTGCCGCGCGCAGCGACGCTCGCCCACTCTGGTCCGAAGCACACGGCAATGCTGTGCTCTACGTCTTCGTAATCTGCAAGCCCTTCGCCATTGTCGAGCTTGTAGGAGCCGGTGAAGTGAGCGGTCTTCACCTCGCGGTCTTCTTCATCGACGAGCGACATGAATGGCTGACTACACCTGAGGCTGAACGTGTTAGCGCTCTCCTTGAACTCCGCATCTCTCGGCAGGCCCGCTGCGCTGGCGACCCACGTGCCCGTCCACTCAGCGCCGCTGATGGCGCCGCGCCAGTAGAAAATCGGCGTGCGCCAGTCGGAAGGTGGCGCCTTGCGCTTGCGCGCTGCGGCGGAGGCGGCCGCCTTTCTCTTTGGCGCCATCGTTTGCGTACGTCGGGAGTGCGTCGTTACTGCGTGAGTCTACGTCCTTTTGAGTTCGTGAAGAGGGTGTTGCGGCAAACAAAAAAGCCCGCCCCAGGGAGGGATGGGAGAACGGCACGCCGATAAAGAAAGAAAGAAAACACAGCGCACAAGGGAGGGATGGGAGGACGGCACGCCGCCACCACACAGCGATTTTCAGTGTATGTAGCTCTTACGAACATACCCGTAGGTGAACTGCTGACAGGGTTTGCGATGAGGAGCGATCCAAACGTGGTATTCGGGTGATTAGATCACTACCGCCGAAGCGCAAGCGCTTGGAGCAAGGGAACCGCCACGTATGGGTCCCAGACTAGCACCCCACCTCGCGGGCCGACGAGCGACGTTCTGGCAGCCCATTTTAAGGAGAATATTCTATTTATTCTTTTTGGAGGAGGGAAGGAGCAACAACAACAGGAGAAGGTGGCGACGCTCGTAGCGAAGGGGGCGGGAGGGTGGCAGCCGGTGGAGCTGAGCGAGATGCTCGGGCCGCTTTTGGAGAGCGTGGTGGTCTGTGGTGGACGAGCAATTGGCGGACGCGTCCGACGCCTCGGGTTCGGGGTCGAAAAAGCAGCTGCTGTTCGGGTCCTCTCCAGGGGGTTAAAAAGAAAGAAAAAAGATCGGGCTCGCCATCGTTTGCGTACGTCGGGAGTGCGTCGTTACTGCGTCAGTCTACGTCCTTTTGAGTTCGTGAAGAGGGTGTTGCGGCAAACAAAAAAGCCCGCCCCAGGGAGGGATGGGAGAACGGCACGCCGATAAAGAAAGAAAGAAAATACACCATACAAGGGAGGGATGGGAGGACGGCACGCCGCCACCACACAGCGATTTTCAGTGTATGTAGCTCTTACGAACATACCCGTAGCGCGTAGGTGAACTGCTGACAGGGTTTGCGATGAGGAGCGATCCGAACGTGGTATTCGGGTGATTAGATCACTACCGCCGAAGCGCAAGCGCTTGGAGCAAGGGAACCGCCACGTATGGGTCCCAGACTAGCACCCCACCTCGCGGGCCGACGTTCTGGCCCATTTTAAGGAGAATATTCTATTTATTCTTTTTGGAGGAGGCGAAGGAGCAACAACAACAGGAGAAGGTGGCGACGCTCGTAGCGAAGGGGGCGGGAGGGTGGCAGCCGGTGGAGCTGAGCGAGATGCTCGGGCCGCTTTTGGAGAGCGTGGTGGTCTGTGGTGGACGAGCAATTGGCGGACGCGTCCGACGCCTCAGGGTCGGGGTCGAAAAAGCAGCTGCTGTTCGGGTCCCGGGTGGGGGTTAAAAAGAAAGAAAAAACCCACGGTTCGCAGAAAAATTCTTGGTCGATGGTTCGCGGGAGCTTCCTCATACAGCTCGCGCAGCTCGCCGCTGTGGCGGCAGCCCGGCTACCCACCCGAACTCCGCCGGCGGTGGCTCGCCCGTCGTGCTTGGCCACTCGGCCGCCCGCGGAAGTCGGAGCCACGCCGGCGCTCGCGGCCGCGGAGGAGAGGGCGACCGCGTGGGCGCTGGGTGCGGCGACAGCTATGATGGTGGCGCTGCCGGCGGGTGCGGCAGACGTGGCGTGGGTGGGTCCGACAAAGGCAGTGCTGTCGCCCCTCTTCGCCGTGTACACGCTCCTCTTCCTCTTCCGCACCGTCCTCTCCTGGTTCCCAAAGTGTGCCGCACACAGCTCGCCGGCTGGCTGTGGACGCCGCGGACGCCGCCCCAGTCACTCCTTGCGTCTCGCCCGCAGGTACAACCTCAACGCCTTCCCGTACAACGTCGCCGCCTGGCCGACGGAGCCGCTGCTGCGAGCCACGCGCCGCCTCATCCCGCCCGTCGCCGGCGTCGACATCACCCCGATCGTGTGGGTGGCTGTGATCTCCTTCTTCTCAGAGGCGCGCTCCCTTGCACTCTCCAACCGCCGCCCCTCACTCTCCCGCCACCCTCTGAGAGAGGTCCCCACCCCGACCACCGCTCGTGCTCGCCGCCACCTCGCCTCATCACCTACCCGGCTGGCTGCCTGCGCAGATCCTGCTCGGGCCGCAGGGCCTCCTAACGATTGTGCAAAAGAAGGGCGGCTTCTGACGCTGACGCATGTGGCGGTGGCGCACTCCCACCACGCATCCTCTCCCGGCCTCGGTGCTTTCCTGTGGCTCCCTCACTCAGTGCAGACTCGGGAGTTCTGCGATGAGCAGGCGTGCGACGTGCGACCCGATTGATCATCCGAGATTCGTGCGATCCGAATTCCGATTGATGCGTATACCGTGTGAGCATGCGTCATGTACTCCTGGGACACCCTACCCCCAATCCGCAGTAGCGCGGAACCGGAAGGGAAACAGGCCGCGTGGGCGCGGTGAGCGGATCCTCGAGGCCGCACCCTCCGCTCCCGATGACAGTTTCGACACCCGAGTCCCGTTCTCGCTCTCGGCCGCACAAAAATAAGAAGGCGCGGGTCGACATGGCGCGGCGCCGTGCTCGTCGCACCACTCGGCGCCGCTCAGGCTCACGCTGGGCCGTCGCGCGCCTCGGTCGCCCGTGCGGCAGCCTCGTCGTCGATGCGCTCCTTGAGCAGCTTGGCGGCCGCATAGTCCTCGCGATCGATCGCCGCGTCCAGCTCTGCGTAGAGCCGCGAGCGAGAGGAGCCGCCCCGCGGAGGTGCTGCGCCCCTCCCTCCCGCCTGGCCAGCAGCCTCTCCGTACACCTCGACGTACGGGAGGCTTGGTAGCCGCAGGCGGCGCAGCCACGAGGGGCCGCCTCCGCCCGGCTCCGCCGTCGTGCCTTCGGGCTTGTACTTGCCGTTGTAGAAGGGGTTGTCCTGCTTCTCCTTCATGAGAAAGGCGTTGATGCCCTGCTCGCCGGACGAGACAGACCACTGCAGCCAGCCCGCGGCGGCGAGGATGCCGCCAGCTATGAGCACCTCCACGTCGACCGCAGCCGGCGAAGGTGTGCGCCTCGGCCCGCGTGGCAGCGGCATGGCGCGAACCGGAAAGTGCAGCGCACGTGCGCACGGAAGCAGCAGCAGCAGCAGCCATTCAAGGCTATGACGCCTTGGCTCGCGGCTCTGGCATGTCCTGCGAGCAGAATGTTTTGCGAGGCGCGAGAAAGGCTTGTACTGCGCAGAAGAGGAAGACGCCGAAGAAACCGACTGCTGCGACGGTGTGAAGGAGACCGTCTGTGCTCGGCGCGGCAGTATCGAGGTCGACGACATGCGGCTCCATAAAAAGCGACACCGCCGCGAGTAGCGCCGCCGGGCCCCAGGGCAAAACAGTAACCAGGGCGAGGGTGACAGGAGGTGAACCTTCTTTTCTAGACCGGAAGGATTGAGAGCAGCCTCGCTCTCAATCCTAGAAGTCGAAGGATTGTGAGCAGCACTCCTCGCAATCGTAGCATCTCTGTGCGATTGCGAGCGCCGGCGCTCGCAATCCTACATCTTCTAGGACTAAGAGCAGCTCCGCTCCCAAGGTGACTGGTGACGCCTACGACTACTACCAGCGCGCTCGCAATCCGAGCAAAGTCTAGGATTGCGAGCAGCACTGCTCACAATCCGAGCATCATGCCTCCGATTGCGAGCAGTAGCGCTCGCAATCCTACATCTTGTAGGACTATGAGCGGCGGCGCTCACAATCGTACCCGAGATCTAAGGATTGCGAGCGGGTTACCTCGCAATCGGTGCATGTTGCTAGGATTACGAGCGCAGATCTCTGGATCTTCGGTACGATTGTGAGCGCAGCCGCTCATAGTCCTACAAGATGTAGGATTGTGAGCAGCACTGCTCGCAATCGGAGGCATGTTGATAGGATTGTAACACTCACACGTCATTTGGGGCCTGGAGCCCCTGTTTTGTGTAGTTTATGGTGGTTTAGAGTTTGCGGGGGGGGCCTGGAGCCCCTGCACAATGATGTTTATGGAGGTTTAAAGTTTGCGGGGGGGGGGGGACAGCTTTGGTCGGTCGACTTCAATTTTGCCCTGTTCACGCGCGCGCGAGACGTGCAGACAGGGTTGCCAGGTGAGAGCGAATGGCGCGGTTCACGCCTCGCACAACAGAGAGAGATATGCGCTCTGCATGGTGGGACATAAAAGAGAGCGAGTACTTGGGCGAGTAGGCCGTGCGGTCGACGCTGCCGCGCGCGACTTTGCGCGCGAGGCGGCGCAGCTTGAGAACGGCGGTGGGCGAGAAGCCGCCGCTGAACGTCTCGTGGAGCAGCAGGTTGAAGAGAGAAAAGGTCCTTATCAGCTGGTCGGCCGCCATGGGCCTCCGGGCCTGCTGCGGCGGCGCGGCCGGTTGCCCTGTTCACGCGCGCGCGAGACGTGCAGACAGGGTTGCCAGGTGAGAGCGAATGGCGCGGTTCACGCCTCGCACAACTCTCTAAACGCGAAGCGGAGATCAAATATCGGGCTGGCTCGCCTGTCCTGGTTACGCGTGGTGCTAGCGTCTCCCACCGCCCACCCATGCATGTTCGTCCTCTCTCTCTCTCCCGACGTACGTCTCCGTCGCAGTCAGTCTCTCGCCCACGCTCGCGTGTGACTCGGGTGATGACTTTTCTCTCTTTCTCTCTCCGTGTTCCTGGCGCGCTCGAGCAAGGCCATACACAGCACATAATGAGGACGCCCCTGGGCCTCGTGGCCGCGCCCGTGCTGCCTGCCTGCTCTCGCGGCCTGAGCGTCCGGCTCTGCTCGCCCTCGTCTGCCGCCGGTCCAGCTGGCGGCTGGGAGGAGTACCACGTGCCGGTCCTCCGCGACGAGCTCGTGCGGTGGCTGGTGACCGATCCGGCCGGCACGTACGCGGACCTCACGCTCGGCGGCGGCGGCCACTCCGCAGCGCTGCTCGACGTGCTCGCGCCCGCCGGCGGCCGGCTCGTCTGCGCCGACCGTGACGGCGACGCGATCCGGCAGGCGCGCCGCCGGCTGGGCACGCACGTCGAGAGCGGCGCGGCGACGCTGCTGCAGACGAGCTTTGGCCGCTTCCCGGCGGCGCTGTCGCGCGCCGGCGTCGGCGTCGGCGCCGGCGGTGCGCCCGGGGAGGGCGCTCGGCTCTCTGGCGTGCTGCTCGATCTCGGCGTGAGCTCGCACCAGATTGATGAGGCGTCGCGTGGCTTCTCGATGCGGTTCGAGGGGCCGCTCGACATGCGGATGGACCAGGCGAGCGGCGAGCTCACCGCCGCCACCATCCTCAACGAGTGGAGCGCCGCCGAGATTGCGGACGTCCTCTGGAGGCACGGAGAGGAGCGCCTCTCGCGCCCGCTCTCGCGCGCTCTCGTCGCGGCACGCCCTCTGCGGAGCACGGCGCAGCTCGCGAGCGTGGTGAAGGCGGCGCAGCCGGGCGCGCCGAAGGAGCTGACCAAGCGGGCAGCGCGCGTCTTCCAGGCGCTGCGCATCGAGGTCAACGCCGAGATGGACGAGCTCGAGGCGATCCTCGCGGCTGCAGCCAGCCTGGTGCGGCCGGGCGGTCGGCTCGCAGTCATGTCGTACCACTCCCTCGAGGACCGGCGCGTCAAGCGGCTGCTGCGCTCGGGCGCGACGGGCGGCGACTCGCCGCCTCGCGACTTCTACGGCAACTCGCTCGCGCCGTGGACGCCCCTCACCCGCCAGCCCGTCTTCGCCAGCGACGCCGAGATCGAGGCCAACCCGCGCGCCCGCTCCGTCCGGCTGCGGGTGGGCGAGCGGTCGAGCCATCCCGCGCCCGAGGCGGCGGCGGGCTAGGGGGGGTGTCGGTGTCGTCTGTCGAGGCCTCGGTCGAGGCACGGGGTAAATTCGTCCCTTGCACTCTTCGTGGGGACCGGTTTGGAGCAGAGTAGATCGATTAGCGTATTTTCTTATTTTACCTCATCGAAGGCGCTCTCAACAAAGACCTTCACGCGGCCCGCTGGGTGCGCTTCATAGCTCCCTCCCTGGCCCCCTGGATGGATGTGATCGAAGGGTTCTGGAAGGGTTTCGTGTGCAGCCAATTCTCGCGGGGCGGCATGCGCGCCCCATCGCCCATGCCGCAGCGCGCAGGGGAGCGGCATGCCGCGGCTCAACTTGAGAGGAGTTCATCTTGACGGCGGTCGCCGACGCTGCTTGAACGGCAGTTGTCGACCGCCGGCGGCAGTTGACCGGCAAGGGGCAAGATGAAGTCCACTGCGCTCGCAATCGGGATGTCCGCCGGAACCGTCTCGCCGAGGCGCTCAATAGTTCTCTGTCTGGCGAAGGCCAGTTCCTTCATCCTTTAAGTGTGGAGAGGTTCCACACTTTCGGTGCTTATGTGTCGAGTCACCGGCTCCACACCGCGTTCTACACTTTTTCAAGTGTAGAACCAACTGTGTGAACAGGCCAGCGCACAGCGCCATAGGAGGTATTTTCTTCTCAATAACAAGGCTGAAATCGCGCCGCCAACCAAGAGAATCATCTTCAACCTCGCCAAAGAGGTCGGCAGCCCGAGCGCCGTCGACCGCACCGACTACGGCACAGCCTCCGGCAGCGCCCGGGGCTTCGCCCAACACCACTCGCAACAGCTCTCGCGCGCCGCCGTCAGTGGCGATGCGCAAAACATCAACAACGCTGCTCGCAACATGCGTGTCGCGCACTCATTCATGACCGGTCTCAATGCCCCACCCCCCTGCGCGCGGGCCTTCTAAGCCCGCGGGTAGTCCCCCCCCATCCCCAGGGCCTCCAGGGCTCGCACCTCAACCTCTCACAGGCCAGCGCACAGCGCCATAGGAGGTATTTTCTTCTCAATAACAAGGCTGTGAACCAACTCTCGTGAGCACATCGACTCTGCGCTCGATGTCGGACTCGCGGGCAAAGTGCCACTTTGCGCTCGTTGGCGGCGTGTACATCGACGAGATCCACGAGGTTGCTGCTTACCCTTCGGAGGACAGCGCGATCAGGGCGGCGTCAGTGCAGCGCCGTCGCGGTGGCAACGTCGGCAACTCTGCAGCGGTGCTCTCTCAGCTGGACGCCGGGTCGGTGGAATGGGTCGGCGTCGTGCCCGCCAACGGCGGAGACGGCGCGGTGGCATTTGCCCTCGACTCGCTGCACGCCTACAACGTGAGGACGGAGCGGCACGAGCGTGTGCAAGGCGAGGCGATTGGCATGCCCACCTCGATGATCCTCTCGAGCCGGGCAACCGGCTCACGCACCATCGTCTCCTCCCGCCGAGGCCTCCGGGAGCTGTGCGCAGAGTACTTCAGCCGCGAGGTGCTCCCCGCCCTCGTGCGTGAGCACCCGGTGCTGTGGCTGCACTTTGAGGGCCGGGAGCCCGGCAGCGTGGCCCGCATGGTGGCCGAGGCGGACAGGGCGAGGCTTGCTGCGTGGCGCCTCTCGGTCGAGGTGGAGAAGCCCACCTTCACGCCGGAGGCGGTGCTCACGCTGCTCGCCGGTGCGGACGTCGCCTTCGTGTCGCGCGAGTGGGTGCTGAGGAACGCGGCTGCTCTGCTGGGCGGCGAGGCGGCCTCACGCCAGAGGCAGACGGAGCGGCTTGACGACTGCCACCTCGCCATCGCCACCCTGCGCGCGCTAGCAGGTCGCTCCCTCGCGGCCGCGAAGCGAGGCAGCGCCGGCGTGACTTGGGTCTGCGCCTGGGGCGCCCTCGGCGCGTTTGCGCTCACCGGGGTTCGGGACGAGGGCGGGCGCGTCGTCGAGACGTGTGCGGTTTTGGCGGCCGCCAGCGCCGTGGAGCGGGTGGTGGACAGCGTCGGGGCGGGTGACACCTTCAACGCGGCGGTCATTGCCTCCCTCGCCGCCGGGGTGGGCGCGGGCGAGGCGCTACGCGCGGGCTGCCTCGTGGCGGGCCGAAAGGTGGCGCAAGCGGGCTTTGATGGGCTTACGCTTCCGCCAAGCTGACGCCCCAACCAACCGCGCGGGCGTCACCTCCCTGGGCCCTGCTGGACACCATCCTCTCGCGACGTAGATCGACTTCACATGATATAATTACAGCGATTGCGCTCACGATGGAAGCATCCCACATGCGCCCCCCACACCGGTCACCGCGCCCGGCGCCGCCGCGCAGCCCGCCTCTCTGGCCCAGGGTCCGTTCTCTACGTCTTTGATGTACGGTATATACGCATGTATGACGGTCGGCACCGTAACACCTGTGTTGCGAGCATCGCCATCGGCGACGGCGTGGGTCTCCCGGACTCCCCCCCAGAGAGACTGAGCGCGACGGCTCGAGAGAGCACACAGGTCTACAACAACTCAGTGGCAAATGTCTGAGGGAGAGTGTGCGCAGGCCGATTACTCCGAGAGTGCAGTCCGGCTGACAGTGAGCGACTCACTGTTGGAGCCCGAGCTGGACGAGGATGGAGGCGGTCGCGCAGTCGTCGAGCGACGACGAGAGTGACGACGTGCTGGGCGGAGAGAGCGGGCACGGCGCGCCGCTCGAGGGGGGCTGGGACATCAGACGAGAGGCATCGAGGACGGCGACGGGGGGCGGGGCAGGGCAGACGCTCCTGCGCGGCGCCGGCTCCGAGCGAGCGCCGGGCGGCGCAGGCGGCGGCGGGGAGCCGTCTGCCTCGTCGTCCTCGCTCCTCCTCTCGCAGGCGTCGAGCACCGTGCTTTGCGACTCCATCGACCAGCCTCGCTTGAGCGGTGGCCGCAGCCCCCACGCCGCCTCGTCCTGGCGGGGCCTGCCGCCGAGCGCGGCCCCATCCACCCCGCCATCCACCTCGCTCGAGGACCCTTGCAGCCGGGCCCAGCGGTTGCGGACTGCGCTATCCGTCCGGTTGCCGGGCAGCAGCGCCGAGATCTGGCGCCACTTTGCCCCGTAGCGCGCGAAGCCCTCCCGGATGATTCGGTCCTCCTGCTCGCTCCAGTGCAGCCGTGGGTGCTGGCGGACGGCACCGGGTGGGGATGGGCTCGCGCCAGCCTCGTCGCCCCTCAGCCTGTGCCACCGGTTGCGAGCGGCGTCTGCCGTGCGGCCGTGGACGTTGGCCGCCACCTCTGCCCAGTTGGTGCCCAGGGTGGCCACGGCCGCGAGCAGAATGCCGTCCTCAGCTGCTGACCATGTCGAGGTCTTGCGGTCTGGCTCGCCGTCGGCGGGAGGGAATGGGGTCCTCTCCGACGCAGCGAGGCGGGCAAGGCGGGAGGTCGGGTTCCTCATGGGCTCTGTGCCGAAGGCTGGCACCATCACAAAGAAGGCGGCGTCTCAAGCATGTGTCGGGTCGGCGGCTCGACTTGCTCATGCCGCGAAACCGGCATTTTCTTTTTTCGTAGATTGCGTCCCAAAATATTTGGGCACGCGGCGGCCGAGAGCTACTACACACGCACATCGTAAGAAAATTTCCCGTCCAGCGTTGCCCGCCAAAAGAAAAGCCAATTTGGACTTGGGCCCTGCGGGCGACCTTCTCTCGAGGTGGGGGGGGGGGGGAAGTCCAGCGTTCGCTGTGGGAATAGAGTCCTCGCTACCCAACGCGGCCAAAGGATATCCACCTCGAGAACCTCGAGAGAGTCCTCCTCCGTGCGCGGCGCAGCTCGGTGTTTTGGACGCCAGGCAGTTTATGACTCCGATCGCCCTCACCGTCGCACCCGCGCTCGCGCCGCAGCCGCTCTGCCTCGGCACCGCCTTTCCTCGCCGGCCAGCCTCGGAGGTGCTCGCAGACGCGGCGGAGGCCGCCGCCGCCGCAGAGGTGGGCGGCGAGGGCGACGCCATCGACGTGTACGGCCGCGGCGCGTGGCTCGAGTCGTTTGAGTCCGAGGTCGCGAGCGAGTTCGGCAAGGAGTCGGCCCTCTTCTTCCCCACCGGCGTGTGCGCGCAGCTGGCTGCCCTCTGCGTGTACGCGGGAGGAGTCGGCCGCGGCGCGGGCGACCTCATGCCCAGGCTCTCGCGGCCGTCCTTCATCGTGCAGGCGACATCGCACCTCCTCCTGCACGAGGAGGACGCCGCGCGCCAGCTGCTCGGCTTCACGCCGCTGGTCGTCGGCGCAAAGGACAGGCCGCTCTCGCCGGCGGACGTCGAGAAAGAGCTGTCGCGCCTCGCGGCGGTCGGAGCGCGGCCGTGCTGCATCCTGCTCGAGGTGGCCCGCGCCGCGAGCTCGGCTGCGAGACACGCTACAACGGACAGCACGCCCCAAGACCGCACAGTAATCACAGGTGCCGCACCGCGAGCTCGGCTGCGAGACGCTCCGCCTGGACGAGCTGCGCGAGATGCGGCGGCTCGCGGTCCAGTACGAGGTGCCGCTGCACGCCATCGTACAGTGGCGTATGATGTCGCCCTACCCCTAACCCTAACCCTAAGACTGGTAGAGTGGAGCGCACCTGGCCAGGTGCCGCTGCATGCCGACGGCGCGCGCCTCCTCGAGGTCGCGCCCCACTACGGCCTCCCGCTCCCCGAGCTGTGCCGCCTCTTCGACTCGCTCTACGTCTCCTTCTACAAGGGCCTCGGCGGCGTCACCGGCGCCATGCTGCTCGGCAGCCCGACCGTGACGCGAGAGGCGGCCGTCTGGCGGCGCCGGCTCGGAGGCAACCCCTTCACCGTCGCGCCGTACGCGCTCTCCTGCCGCGCCGCCTTCCGCGCCCACCGCGGCGCGCCCCTCCCTACCACTCACCCTCACCCTCACCACTCATCACTCATCACTCCCCCTCCCCCTCCCCCTCCCCCTCACCCGCACCCGCACCCGCACCCTCCTGGCTCGCCTCGGCACAGCCCCACCACGCAAGCTTCGAGCGCACACCCGTACCACAGCTGCGACACCCGTGACCACCTTCGTAGGCTCCTTCGACGCGCGCTGGCGGAGGCTCCAGCAGCTGGCGCCGCTCCTCTCCTCCACCGCCGCCGAGGAGGGCGGATCCCTCCGCTTCGTGCCCGAGGCGCCGACCTGCTGCCAGGCGCACGTCTACCTGCGCGGCGACGCCGCCGCCCTCGACGCCGCCCGCGACGCCGTGCTGCGCGAGCGCGGCGTGCGGGTCTACTCACGGCTACGCGGCGCGGCGGTCGGCCCCGAGGCCGACGAGTGCTACTTTGAGCTGACCCTCGGCCCGAGGCACCTCGAGGTGGCAGACGCGGTGTACGTCGGCGCGTGGCGCGCCTTCAGAAGGCGCTCGCAGGGCCGCAGCCGGGAGGGCGCAAGGGCGTCGGCGATGCGGAGCCACAGAGCTGAAAGCGAGCGCTGGAAGTGGAGACAGTTGGGGTCCCTTTGTGCCACCCCTCCGTCGACGCGCGACACGACGCACGATGCAATTTCCATGTACCACATCGTCATATCGATGTGGTACAAGTTGCACTCCTATAGAGAAGGCTTCAACGTTCAAGCTTAAAATGCAGCGCCACACGAAGGTCGACGCTGAGGAGACAGGTTCTACGTCAAAAAAACCGAAACGCTTAGCGCAAAAAACCTCTGGCGTCTCTGGGGGGAGGCGGGGCCCATAGCGTCTGAAAACCACACAGCGTGTCCCGGTCCATACGGGGTGTGTGGACCCTGAGAGTTGACCAGGGGTTGTGCGCTGGGCCCTCCTGCTCGGCTCCAGCCAGTAGACAAGTCTTGTCACTAACAGAGTAGAAGGATCTGACCTCGGGGCCGATGTGACCAAGCGCTGGAAGCGTGGTTTTACCTCACACCCACGGTCTCACAGTGTGCCGGCAGTCGCCGAGCAGTGTCGCTCACACAAGCCGCAGCACAAGTGACTGAGGGCCAGTGAGGGCGAGCCCATCGCTGTCACAGCTGTGGCAGCCGCACAGTAGGCTGTGTCAACTGTGCAGAGTGTGTGAGCAGCAGAGGAGCTGCTCTCCAGGCTTCAGGCGCAAAGAGCTGCATGCCACCGAAAGCGCTGTCGAGGTTCGCCGAGCGCGGCGAAATCCGGGGACGCCGTCACCGACGAGCGCGTTGGACTTTTCACTCCGGACAAAGACCGCTGCACAGCGGACGGTACGGGCCGTGCAGCGGTCATAGCGGCGAGGCGCGGGACCGTCTGTGGCGAAGTGGGTCGCGTCCCCGGATTTCCTCAACTCACGGTCCGCTCCCTCTACTCGAGTATCCCGCTTGGGCTTGCCGGGGGTGTTTCTCTTCTTATCCCCGTTACCATGTAGAGCAAGACCGAGGGCGGGCCCTTTCGGGCTCCGGGCTGCTACGGCCGCCACCCTCCTGCCGGGCAACGTCTGCCGGCGCACGCATTGGGCGTCGCCGAGAGGAACCAACTGGTCTGAAGCTGACTCCTCAAGGCACCAACGAGATGCCTGAGCGAGGGAGCGCTTGGCAGGCGCTCCCTCAGGCATCTTGACTCAAGTACAAGTTAGCTCCCCCCAGGCACCAAGCTGGCCCTCCAGACATCAAGCTGGCTCCCTCCAGGCACCAATCCGAATCCCTCCAGGCATCAAGCTGACTCCCCCCAGGCATGAGCTGGCTGCATCTCGCGATATCTCGCTGCACCTCCGCCAAATCTCGCCTCATACCGTCTAATCTCGCCTCATCTCGCCTCATCTCGCCTCATCTCGCCTCATCTCCCCTCATCTCGCCTCATCTCGCCTCACCTCGCCTCATCTCGCCTCATCCTCCTCACCTAGGCTACTCAACCGCCGTGGCCGAGATCGACCCGAGATCGACCCGAGTTCAACCCGAGATCGACCCAATGCGAGGCCCCTCTGCGCTCTGGGGGAGATAGACTCAACAAGGCCCCAAACCCCCCTCTCTGGGGGACCCCTCCCCCCCCACCCCGAGTGTCCGTGTCCTTCGCGAGTCACCGATGGGGAGCGGGGGAGGGTGCGAAAGACGAACAGGGGAGGCTGGGGAGGGGGGGGGTCCACTCTGAAGACTGCTGACCGCGGAGGGGTTTTCTCCCACAGGGTTTTACCCTCCGCGCGAGAGGATCGGCGCGGCGAGGGGGTAGGCTCGAATTCGCCGCGCAACATTTCACCCCCACAGGACCCCGCCCTCCCCCCCTCATGGTCATGGTCCCACCACCTAGAACCCCAATCTTAGGCTTCGCACCCTCTCCTTGCGTGGTGTCCCCCGCTATGTGTCGCCGTCTTCGGGGCACGCAATCCTGTGTAGTCAGGGCAAGTGGGGGCGGGGGGCAGTCCCATCTCTCCTGTGTACGGGTGGGTTCTGTCTCTAGTCTCGGAGGGGGGCTTGAAGGTAAGAATATTTTATTTCCTGCCGGGCAACGAGAAACGACCCCAACTTCGTCGATGGGCCTGTTTGAGACTCTCTGGGATCGACTTCCCGGCAATCGGCGCGATGGGCCTTATTTGGGCGCCGACGCTCGGGGTCGTCTGGCAACGGCACCGGGAGCTCGAGACGCAGCTCTCGGGGCCAGCCAACCCAGGAGTCGATTTCTAGGACCAATCTCAATAACAATCTATATCAGCATGAACAGCGGGGACTCGGACGCGAGGGATAATCGGAGATAGCCGCGCAGCGGCTATGTAGGTTATCCGACAGAACGCGAGGAGAGGAACCGACAAACCCCCAACCCACCGTGAGGGGGGAACCGGGAACCAAACTATTACGTTCCGCGCGCGCCGCGCTGAACGAGCGTTTGTCGGACCCTCGCGCTTCTAGGCGCCCGAGTCCTGTTCTCGACTGCCCCACCCTCCCTCCTTGGCAGACGATTTTGCGTAGTGTTTGTGTTGTGTGTGTGAGCGTCGGGCCTTATTTGGGCGCCGACGCTCGGGGTCGTCTGGCAACGGCACCGGGAGCTCGAGACGCAGCTCTCGGGGCCAGCCAACCCAGGAGTCGATTTCTTGGACCAATCTCAATAACAATCTATATCAGCATGAACAGCGGGGACTCGGACGCGATGGATAACTCGGTGGTCGATGCACACGGTGGCCGCAACTGAACGTTGCCCTTCGTTGATTTCCAGTTCAAACCGGTCAGCCTCTCTTTTCATTTGCCATTTCGCTACCTATAACCGCCCTGAACACAAAGCAGCGCGCCTTGACGCCCTCCTTCGGCAAATACGGCCGCTCCTCATCCGCCACGAGCTCCCAGCGGCCCTCGGCACAGAGCCGGGCCTGCTCGCGCCGGAAGCCGCTGCTCTCGGCCTGGAAGTAGTACGACCGGATGTTGAACGCAACGTGCCCCCCCGGTCGCAGGATGTTTGCCAAGCTCTCCAAGGTGGACGCCGGCGCGTGGTTTGGCGTGAAAGTCCCGGCACAGAATATGAAGTCATAACCATCCGGGCACGCTGCCAAGGCGGGACCCATGTCGGGGCAGCGCCCGACTATTCTGTCCGAGTAGACGCCTCGAGCAGCCGCTCGCTCGAGCATTCCCTTGGAGAGGTCGAATGCCACTATGGACTCTGCGCGACTGAAGTGTTGCCTCAACAGCGGGCCGGCAGCGCCCGTCCCGGCGCCGCAGTCCAAAATCGTGCGCACGCCGTCGCGATCAGCACGTGAGAGCGCCGATGCGACCGTCGCCGCGAGCCCCGTCGTCGGATGGTTCTCGCCTCCGCCTGCCAAGTCGTGTGCGACAGTGTTGTCGTATGTCACCGCCCAGAGATCGTAAATTTGCGCCAGATCCTCGCTGCTGCCGGCCGAAAACACGCCCCGGAAGGCGGGGTGCGCCTCCTGTGTGTGTATGGCCTCCATTGGACGCACCTGGATGAATGTGGATATCTCCGGAAGCAATCAATATGCGCGCGTCGCGACCGCGTTCTCCCGGCGTCGGCGAAAGGCGTCAGGAAATAGAAAGAAAACCATGTTTTCTTCTACATCGAAGGCTCGCTCAAAAAATCGATAAAAAGAAAGTGTGAGAGCAGAGCGGTGTTTCGACACCGAGATCGTTCAAGGAACGCTGTTCAATTTCGCTGTTAGTGTAGCTAAGTGCAGCTAATCCTTTGTGTTCACACCTGCAAGTGAATCTAAGGGCGTAGTGAATCGATTTCGGCCTGTCTGTTGCCAGTCGCCACCACGGCAGCGAGAATTTTGGGCTGGAAACGCAACATATACACATATATGTGGCGCCGCTTCGCCACCCGCGGCGCCTTTGCCACCGCCGGAGTCGCCGGTGCAGCATACGCTGTCTCTCCCGGCTTTCGGCGATCGGTCTGCTTCTGGAGCACGGTCGCACCCTTCGTGGGCGAGTATCAGTCAATCAGGCTGCGGGCGCGGTGGGAGCGGTGGGAGCCGAGCGAGCTCGAGGCGGCGCAGCAGCACTTTCACCACCGCTCTGCCCTCAGAGCGGTCGACGTCATCCTGCGGCTGGGCGGCATCTACATCAAGATTGGACAGTTCGCCTCCACAATGGGTGCCGGGGTCCTTGAGGACGCGTACATCCAGGCGCTCCGGCCGCTGCAGGACGGCGTGCCGCCTCGGAGCCTCACCGAGGTGAGCAGGATCATCGAAGCCGACATCGGTCATGCCGAATGGCGACGAGCTTTGCTCCTCCTTCGACCCTGCACGACATTACATGATGCTGTGTAGGTGTGCCGATGGGAGAGCTCTTCTCCTCCTTCGACCCGGAGCCCGTCGGCGCCGCCTCGATCGCCCAGGCGCGCTTGCGTGCGAACGTGAGACGAGCTCTTTCCAAGAGGCATTCTTTGACCAGATTCGTGAGACCTCCCAGGCGCACCGCGCGACGCTGCTCGACGGGCGCGAGGTGATCGTCAAGGTGCCGTACCCAGAGGAGAGATACAATCCAAGGAAACCTGATTCCATGATGTCGGAGCTGCGTACACACAGGTGCAGTACCCAGAGGTGCCCACGCTGTACGAGGCCGACTTCGACAACCTCGAGATCGTGACGCGTTTCCTGTTCCCCGAGAACCTGCCCCTCATCGAGGGGCTGCGCAAGCGGCACCAGGCGGAGCTCCGGAGAGAGGCCGCGCCGCATTCACACAGTACAATAGAATGCTGTCTACAACTGTCAGGCGGAGCTCGACTTCCGGCAAGAGGCGCGCAACTTGGCCGAGGTGCGGGCCAACTTGTCTGCGCGCGGCTTCGAGCCCTCGCGCGCCCGCCTAGATGCGGGACACAGCAGGCCCCTGCATCTGGACCCTCGTCTCCCGACTAGCGCTCGAGAAGGCGCGTCTTCAGCCGCGTCCGCGCTCCCCGACATCGGGCGCGTTCTCCCCGTAAGGCTCGTCCGCCTCCCCTCGCTGCCCGACGAGCGCCTCTGCTCGCGCCACGTCCTCGCGATGGAGCTCCTCCACGGCACCAGCTTGGCGGCCGCCATCGACCTCGAGGCGGCCGACATCGCCGCCGCCCTCGGCCTCGAGTCCGCCGACGCGATGCGCAAGCAGCTGCTGCGGCGGATGGGCAAGCATTCGGAGCGGGGCGGCGGCGGAGAGAGCACGGTGGGGAGCAGACACCAGGCGCCTCTGTCAACAGGCGAGCACTTCGAGCGAGGGGGCGGCGCCACCCGCCTCCTCTCCCTCGCCGAGGCGGCGGCGCCCCTCGTCCGCCTCGTCGCGGCGACGCTGCGGCTCGCGCGCTCCGCCGCCGCGTCGACCTCCAACGCGCTCGCGCGTTGCATGGAGTCCGTCGGTTTGGGAGGGTTCGCGCCGCCCCTCCGAGACCCGCCCGAGCGGAGGCACGACCTTAGCCGCGCTCTGCGGACGCTCGTGCGAGTGCACGGGGTCGCGATGCTGCTCGACGGCGTGTACAACGCGGACCCGCACCCGGGCAACGTCCTCCTCCTCCCCGACGGGCGGCTCGGCCTGATCGACTACGGCATGTGCGGCCGCCTCGAGGGGAGCGCGCGAGAGAGCATCGCGCGGGTCGTCCTCGGCCTCGCCGCCGGCGACCGAGCGGCCGTCGTCGACACGTACGAGCGGTCCGGCTACCGCGCGTGCTGGCACGGCGGGGCGCCGCACGGCCCCGACGCCGTCTACCGCTTTGCGACCTTCCACCTCGACCGCATCGACCTGTCTCCGGTCGGGGTCGGCCCGGGCGGCGAGGGAGGCGGCGGCAGCGCGACGATGCCGGTGATGAAGCTGCTGCGCTCGACGATCGAGGTGTCGGTGCCCGACTGGGTCGAGCAGGCGCGGCGCCTCGGCGGGCTGCTCATCGGGGTCGGCAGCCAGGCCGGGCGCCCGATCTCGCTGGCGCACGAGTGGGCGCCGATCGCGGAGGAGGTGCTTGCGAGCGCCGGCGGGGCGAGGGCGGCGGACGCGCGGCGGCTGAGGACGCACCTGACGGGGCTGTCGGCGTGAGGGCTGTCTGGAGAGATGTTTCTTTTTTATCCGGGTCACAGTGTCTCTGTACGCGAGAGACGACGTCTTCTAGGAGCGGGAGGACGTCTTCCTCGTTTGACGTTTTTGCTCTAGTGTCTAGAGAGCTGTTGCTCTGGTGCACGCCCCTCGCTGGGCGTCACACCTTGCTCAAGTAAGAAGTAAAAATTAAGGTGTTTGGCGACTAAGTCTAAGGACGAGCGAGATTTCTCGTGTGAGAGTGGTGCGGGGTCTCTATTTTATGGGGCGCTGTGTACGGGGTGTGGACCGTGAGTTGACCAGGGGTTGTGCGCCGGGCCCTCCTGCTCGGCTCCAGCCAGTAGACAAGTCTTGTCACTAACAGAGTAGAAGGATCTGACCTCGGGGCCGATGTGACCAAGCGCTGGTAGCGTGGTTTTACCTCACACCCATGGTCTCACAGTGTGCCGGCAGTCGCCGAGCAGTGTCGCTCACACAAGCCGCAGCACAAGTGACTGAGGGCCAGTGAGGGCGAGCCCATCGCTGTCACAGCTGTGGTAGCCGCACAGTAGACTGTGTCAACTGTGCAGAGCGTGTGAGCAGCCGAGGAGCTGCTCTCCAGGCTTCTGACGCAAAGAGCTGCATGCCATCGAAGGCGCTGTCGAGGTTCGCCGAGCGCGGCGCAGGTTGGAGGACACCGTCACCGACGAGCGCGTTGGACTTTTCACTCCGGACAAAGACCGCTGCACAGCGGACGGTACGGGCCGTGCAGCGGTCATAGCGGCGAGGCGCGGGACCGTCTGTGGCGAAGTGGGTCGCGTCCTCCGCTTTCCTCAACTCACGGTCCGCTCCCTCTATGAAGTATGTGCGAAAACACGGAAGTCGGAACACAGGCGGTGCGTCGGATGCGCGGTGCGTGTTGCTGTTGGGCCACGGGTACCCGGGCGTCCTTGTCGGTGCCGGGCGGCCGCTGCCGCACGAGGCACGAGCCGGCCTTGCCCTTGCGCCTTGGCCCTTGGGGCTTGGGCCGGGAGCGGCGTCCGGCGAGCGCGGCCCGCCGGCAGGTTGCGGCGTGGGGATGAGGGGGTTGTGTCAGTGTGTTGAGGGGTGTGCCAACGGCAGAGCGATGTGTTTTGCCTTTGAAAACCGAAAAGTTTGTATTTAGACGACGTCTTTTCACCAGGCACATGTAATATACCAACCCCGGCGTCATCTGTCCGCCCCACTGCTGGACGACGCCGCGTCCGCTCCTGCCGCCTCCACCTGCGCGGCGAGGCTCGCGAGGGCATCGCTCTTCGCTCGCCCGCCCGCCTCGACCGCCTCCACGAGCTTGCGCATGGCGACAGTGAAGTCGTCGGGACTGCGGTCCGCGTCGACAAACTCCTCCACGAGCCGCATTGGCAGTCGCAGATCTGCCGGGCACGACACTGAGCGCAGGCCCTCCATGCAGTTCACGAGCCGAGCGCTGCGAGCGCGTGGAGTGATGACAGGTGAGTGAGCGCGGTCCGCGCGAGCGAGGCTCGGGCCGTGGTCTGCGCGCACATTCCGTCGCGGATCGCAGCGTTGTCGGGGCTCTCCTGCTGCACCTGCGCGTCCAGCGCGTGAATTGCACTGAGCGACTCGGAGACGCTGTGGTCGATCTGCTCGAGCGTGCGGGCGCTTGTGGCCGTGGTGTCGGCCATTGGGCCGTGTGCCAGGAGGATCTCGGCCAGGCGATCTCGTGGTTCGGCTGACATCGTGTTTGGGTTCTTGCCTTCGTTAGGTAAGGTGCGATTTGCCTTGCAACCTTTCACTCCGCGCTACAGGAGCGAATGGGTGCGATCGACGCTTTGGAAGAGGAAGGAAGGAGCAGCTGTCGCGCTCGGCGCTTCGCCTCGCAGCGCTCCAGACTCCGAGGAGTCAACGGCCGCTGCACAGACGGCAGCAACGGCGGGTGGGCGACGTTGACCCACTCATGTGCGTCGTGTGCATGAATGAGCGAGCAAATCACGCAGAGGCAAGTCATGGTCCGGTCGGTCGGTGCGGGCACCACAGTTCCACTGTGCGTGTGAGAGGCTTGCTCTGAGGGAGGGTGTAGAGGATGTAGAGTGTAGAGCGCTGTAGAGCGCTGTAGAGCTGTGGAGCGCTGTAGAGCTCTACATCCGGCGCGGGACGATGTGAGTCCGATGTAGAGCGATGTAGAGCGCGATTTTGCTGTAGAGTTGGTTGTAGAGGCTCTACAGCCAAAGCGCCGGGAAGGCAGTGACTCAAAGAGGTCGAGCCGCGCTAATGGGGTGTCTCCGAGCTTACTGGAGCTCTGGTGGACGGCCCTGACTATCCCTGACACACAGAGAGTCACTCCGACGGTACACAACACCCTATAACTGCGTCATGACCAGCCTGCCATGCGTCGCCGGTGCCGCATTCGTCGCTGTGCTTCTTTAGCAGGCGGTGGACTGTCGGCTGCGGAGGACGGTCGCAT